AATATAAATATGAATTCAATTTTTTCGTATTCCTGGTACATCTCGTTGAGAATTATTTTCCAAAAATGAATTTTACATATGTTCCCAGTTACCCCTCGTTTTCGGCCTTATTATCCCTTGCAAACATCGCTTTATTTGTACTACGTACGTTAATTTCCCTAATAATATTTTAGCGAGCTATTCGGAAGATTCTAATTTAGATAATAACGTACAAGAATGTGGACAGAAACACCAGAGAGTGTGTTTATCAGCGTCATGTATAAAGGCATCGGCACAAATATTATCTCAAATGGATTTCGCAGTTTCGCCCTGCGACGACTTTTATAGGTTTGTTTGCGGCAATTATATGAAAACCACGACAATTCCTGATGACAAAACGTCCGTTAACACATTCACAGTCATAGTGGACGAATTGGAAGAACAATTAAAATTAGCTCTCGGAGATACTGACAACGAAGAGATATCATCGATTCAAAAAGTGAAAAGATACTATCAATCGTGCATTAACAAACGTAAGTTTTCCACAGTGTAATGCTTCGTGGTTATTGGAGATTTTAGTGTGGAATTTTAGAGGAGATTGAAGAGAGGGGAATTAACGAAGTCAGGGATATAATAACGGAACTTGGGGGTTGGCCTGTGGTCGAAGGAAGAAACTGGAACGAAGACAAATTTAATTGGTTACAGTCGGTTTTTTTGAACAGGAAATTGGGCTTAGACACCGGCTTCTTCATAGATTTCTCGGTAGGGTTTGACTTCAAAAATTCTTCTCGACGATTAATTCAGGTAATAGAGCTATTATGTCATGGGAACGGTTGTTTCATGTTTCATTATCATCATAAGGTCGTCAGTTCTAAGACTGGTTGGACACGTACCTCCACTCTTTCCTATCCTGAGCTAATCTTCGCATTTCCCTAAAATTACAACAACCCATATCTTTAACCATCTGCGAACAGTAATCTAATCTACCCCTGCTAACTTCCGTTTCTGCCTCTAATATGTCTCTGACTAGACCTTCATGCCTGAGAAGGTGTCGTACTAACCTATCTCGCCTATTTCTTACTGAATTCCATAGAGTCCTCTGTTCTCCTACTCTTTTTAATACCTCTTCATGTCTAACCTTCTCTATCTGCGGTATCCTCATCATTCGTCTGTAACACCACATTTCAAACGTTTCTAACTTTTTCGTTTCCGCCGCGCCCACTGTCCATGTTTCGCACCAGTACAGCGCCGTGCTCCAAACATACACCTTTAACAAGCTTTTTCGCATTTCTAAATTAACCATTCGCGAACATAGAAGTGACTTCCTTTTATTGAAAGCGACTCGACCTTGCGCTATCCTCTGCTTTATATCCCTAATACTCCTTCCGTCCTGACTTATCTGGCTTCCTTGGTATCTAAAATCGGCCACTTCTTATCTAATTTTTCGTCTCCTGTCTTTATATTCGCTCTTTCCCTACTTTTTCTTCCCTTGCATACCAGTATTTTTGTTTTATTTTTATTTATTTTCATACAGTACTGTTTTGTCAAT